GAGACTAGATATAAAATGAAGACTTCGTTGGAGAAGATTGGATATAAAAATGGCGCACTATGATATAAAGCAAAGATCGCATCGGAAACTGGATATAAAATGAAGACTACATTGGAGAAGACTGGATATAAAAAATGACGCACTATGGTATAAAACAAAGACCGCATCGAAGACTGGACATAAAATGAAGGCTGCGTCGGAGAAGACTAGATATAAAATGAAGACTGCACACTATGATATAAAACAAAAACCGCATCGGAGACTGGATATAAAACGAAGACTGCATTGGAGAAGATTGGATATAAAAAATGGCGCACTATGACATAAAACAAAGACCGAATCGGAGACCTGATATAAAACGAAGACTGTATCGGAGAAGACTGGATATAAAAAAAAAAAATTGATAATGAAATTTTTAGGTGGGGATTTCTTTTGTAAATTGTAAAAACGAAGAAAGCAAATATTTCCTGAATTATTGCGTTCTAATTGGTTTTATTTATCATTTGAATTTATAGTTTTTGGTTCTTAATTTGTCATGATCGGTTCTCCATATATTTGTAATTTGATTCTGTTTTTTTGTTTGAGTTGACTTTTATCATGTTAATGTTAATCATGTTTCTTTGTATCAATTGACCTTTTAGATTTTTTTTTTTTTTTTGTTTTTTATGCAGTAAGTTCAGGCAAATGGGGAGGAGTGCTTTCAAGCTAGAGCATGACTTAGGTTTTTCATGGTTTGTGTTTATTTTGTCCATTGAGCTAACTCTTTTGTGAAACATTTTTGGTTATTTTTGTTTATTTATGGTGTCTTAATATTCAGAAAAGAGGCGTGCTGAAGCTGCAAGAATTACTTTTGGTGGTATGCAAAATTTGTGGAAAACAAGTCATCAATTTTTTGATCAGCTTGTGGCAGGGTATTGTACAAATTCGAACCCTTTTTTTAAGAGATTTTGTACAAATAATGATATAATTTTGTATAATTTTTTATTAAAAAATGGTCATTTTTTCCAACTAGTCAAAACTACTACCTTCATAAAGTTTTTCAATCAATCATATATAATCTTGTACACATTCACTTAATTTCTTTTATTCAAATAATAAAAGTTATATATTTAATTATATATTTTTAGAAGTGCTAGCTTTGATCAATAAGAAAGAAAATGTTATATCCTTAATTAAAAAATATTGAAAAGTTTCATCCTTATTAGTAGGAAATCTCCTAATTTCAACAATTAAACATGAAATCCTAATAATTGACGATGAGAAAAGTTTTATGATGACAACATCGAAGAGTTAGCGGTATGATTTAATATATTTTTTTGCTCTTATTAGGATAGATAATTGTATGAAGATAATTCATTGTGTTCTTTACATACATTTTTGTTCAAAATAAATATCTAATATGCTGTCATTTTGATTTATTTTGTTTTGATAATGTTCTTGGGCCTTACTTTAGTTTAGTTTGCATACTTTATATAAGGGTTTCAAAGAAGTTGGAAAGTAGTCAAAAAAAAAAAATTAACCAATTAAATCTCGTCTAGTCAAATATTGTATTTATATGCTAAAATGTGAGCCCTTTTGGTCTATTTGTAAAGATTCCAAGGTGAGACCAAACACATAAACATGCCTATCTTTGATTGGTCAAAGTCTTGATAATCATAAATAATTAATTTGAATTGCTTTCCAACTAATATTGACACGGTTTGAGAAAGACCTGGTTTTTGCTTTAGTTTTACTCGTTATTTTTTATAATGTCTAAAAGCTCTTTTTCAATGTTACTCAATGACAATTAGTCCCATTAGTTAATTAAGATATTTCCTTATAATTGCTCTCGGAATCAATTCCTAACTAAACAAAAGATTATGTTGTTATGCATATTCTATGGTTAATGATGATCCACTGATCTATTTTAATATTATATGAAGGGCACAATAAAAAAAGTTTGCTTTGTGCTCACTCAACTACTCCGTTAGTGCAAGTATTTGGAATTTTTTTTTTCTTAAAAGACTCTTTTCAAATATATTAAAGGTGTTTAGTAAGTGTTAAAAAATATTTGTTTGAGATTACCATTCATGAGTT